TAACCCTAACCCTTAACCTAACCCTAACCCTAACCCTAACCCTTACCTTTGTGTGAATCGGCTTGCTGTAATCGGCTTAACCTAACCCTTACCTTTGTGTGAATCGGCTTGCTGTAATTTAATTTTTATTAATTTTTATTTCAATTTTTCGATCTTTTTCGTCGCGCTGTGATGACGTCAAAAGCGCGATTTTGTCGATCACGCTTTTGTGGTCCGCGGTTTTGACGGGTCACGGGAAATACCACCTCTGGCTGGCCCTGGCCCATCTTTTCTCTGCCTCCCAAGTCCCAGCTGATCAGGAGGGAATGGGGATTTTGCAGTATCCTTCCCCTGCCACTCCCACCAAGCCACACCCACAGAACTGGTAGTAAAAAAATTGAATCCCATCACAGGTCCAGTCTTTTCTTAAAAACCTCCAGTGATGAAGCACCCACAATGTCTGACGGCAAGCTACTTATGGGGATCGCACAGGAAAACAAATTATTCACACAGAATCCCACACACACAGCCAGAAGGGTCCCTCCCATCAAGGATATCAAATATTGGGAGCCTGCTCACCATCCAGAGCATCTCATCCAAATTTCAATACAGGTAGTCCTCGACTTACGACCACCATCCAGCCCCCACATTTCTGCGGCCAAGCGAAACATTCATTAAGTGTGTTTTGCTCCCTTTTACGACCTCCCTTGCCAGGGTTGTGAAGTGACTCACTGTGGCCATTAAATCAGTCACATGGTTGTTAAGTGAATCCGGCTTCCCCATCGACTTTGCTGGTCAGATGGTCACAAAAGGGAATTGCGTGGCCTCCGGGACGCTTAAATCGTCCCAAAGACGAGTCAGTTGCCAGGTGTCTGAATTTTGATCACGTGATCGAAGATACGACCATGGTCATTAAGTGTGAAAACTGATCATAAGTCACTTTTATCAGCACCGTTGTAACTTTGGACAGTCACTAAACGAAAGGTTGTAAGTGGAGGATTATCCGTATTGTCTTATTTGCATAATTGACAGTTAACACACTTAAAGGACTCAAATGTGTTCAGATGCGATGTTTCTCAATTTGAGTGTTCCTCCTGGAGGGGCAGATTCAGTTCCGCGCAGGTGGTGCTAGGTGTAAACTGTGTGGGCATCTTAAGTAAGTGAGATGGGCTCCTTTACTCCAGATGTGGGCTGCCCATCTCCCAGCCTCAGTTTCCCCTTGATAAGTCAGCAAATGGAGTCTCCTGCTGACTTCCCAGACACGCCAGTTCTCTTTGGGGGAGCAAATGAATGAAACTCCCCCCCTTTTCCCCCAATAATCTAGCTGGGAGGATTTCCTTGTGGTCTCCCATCCCTGCTTAGCTTTTTAAAAGATGCCCACAGAGGCTTTGCTGTAACAATTGCACAAAAGGGGGTGTAAGTTAGTTCTCTTTTTGGGGGCAAATGAATTAAACTCGTCGTTTTTTTTTTTCCAATGCCTCAGTCTAGCCCGAGGATCTCCTGGTGGTCTCCCATCCCCGCTTAGCTTTTCTTAAGATGCCCACCGATGTTTTGCTGTAACAATTGCACCAAAAATGGGCGTAAGTGTGACCGGTGGGCCATCGAGGTTCGCTTCCCGTCTAGATTCTGCCTTGCAAGTAGAAACATAGCGCTTCCACTCTTCTTGAATTCAAACGTCTCCCCGGCACCACTTCCGCGTTTGGCGAGAGAAACCCCTTCCTCTCCCACACCCCATCCTCCCTTCTCCTCCGCTCGCGTGGCAACGTTTGGGCGTGGGGGGGTGTCCTTTGATCTGCACCCCCGTCCCTTTCAGAGCCACTCACCCCGGTGCTGATCTTCGTTACCCCGCGATGGTCCATAGCGGCCCCTTCTCACGAAGCGCTTTTGCGGAAATCTCGGAGTCGAGATCGAAAGTGATAGCAAGAGATTCCACGCGCGCAGCGCCCTCCCGCGGACACCAGGGGGCGCCCCGAGCTGTCAATCAGCCCCGGGAGAAGCGCCGCCACCGTGGGCTCAGGGCCACTATTCTTTCCCCAGCCTGTTTAGCCGAAGGAAGTGGGTGGAGGGAAAGGGGGCTCGGCGTCGCTTCCCCACGCGGCTTCCCCACGCGCGGGAATCCGCTTCTGGGGCGGGGAGGAGGGGGGGGGGTTAGAATTTGACCCGGGGATCGGGGCTGATTCCCTGCCAAGACAGCCTTTAGAAAGAAGCAGAGCTTTCCAACCACTAGGAAAGACTACAGCTTTTGTCCCAAAGGCAACTGGACTTTTTTTCTTCTTCTTTTGAAGACGTTTCGCTTCTCATCCGAGAAGCTTCTTCAGCTCTGACAGGACGGTGGGGGATTGAAGGGTTTATATTCCCTACAGACAGCTGGTCGTTTGCATCCTTTCAGAGGGTCCTTGGAGAAATTGGAGGTTTACTTGGGTCCTCGGGGTCACCTGAGTTCCTGTAGTCTGCAATTTTTTTCCCCTCTGGAAATCCATTCCTACTCCCACACCATTCCAAGGGTCTTCATCCCAAATTGTACAGCTANCTATCCATCCTATCCATCCATCCATCCATCTGCCTGCTTGCCCAATATACAATACTGGTCAACTTCAGAAGTGAACTTCTTCATGAACAGCTGAACGTTGTGATGCCATGAAGAAAGCAGTAACATTAAGATCTAGGAGACATTCAGCTTTCCAATTTTTTAGGGGATAAACATTACTTATGACTGAATTGGTAATCAAATAGCCCTGAGCCATTCCCTGAGTAAAATTTGGCGTAACCCACAGCTTGCTCTCTGCGCCTTCCTGGTGACAATGTCACCAAGCGACAGGAAGAAGATTCCACCAAGAACTCTCTTATTTCAAGAAATCTCGCATTTCAAGTAAAGATCAGCAGAAGGGGTCCTCTGCGGGACAGGACGTAGCACAGAAGCCTTCGAATATTCTCAGCTCAGCGAGGAAGTTTTTACCTCAATTTGAGCAGTGTGGTTGGCGTAATGCTTCAAAGCTTCATCTCCTTCTTCTGGATCTGCCCCAGGTTTCAGTATGTGTTGCAATACTTTATTGTGACGTGACAACTGGAAGTAAACGGAGGGGGGAAATGTTAGAAATGCCATCTGGGTAGCTTGTAGCGAAAAGGCAAAAGTCTGTTGTGGCCCGTCAGTGGCCAACAGAGCTAGGAGCTTCGGAGTCAGTGAGGCAGAAGAACAGCTGGAGCCTGTTCCCAGTGTACGCATGCGCAGAGTTGCCAGACGAAGGGAACAGCTAAAGAACGGGCCGACTTGGGAGGAAGGCCACAGGTGGACGGTGAATGGCCCCTCCCAGAGGAGATAAAAGAGGAGCAAAAGGGGAGTGGAGTTTGCAGGAGACAATTAGTTCGATTACTTGGTTCGTGACTCTCCGAGGCTCCTGGCCAAGTTTTTCAGATCTTGGCCGGGCAGCTCTCCAAGCTAAGGTCTGTGACTGTAAATCCTCCCTTGAAAGACTTTGCTGGATGTGAAAGAGCAGAATTCATAGGAGTTTTTGTCGGGACAAGGAGTTTGCTTCAGGCTCTCGGGAATCCTCAGTCAGAATATCTAGCATCTGCTGCATTTCAGTTGGGAAAGTGGCTTTTTATTCCTTCTGTGACTCCAAAAATATTTTTGTAGCTTTCTTTTTTCTCATTTTTCACCCCATGCAAAAGACCCCAGGCTCCCCCTTTCACAGTCCCTTAATCATTCTGGAGCTCATGTTGCAGGATGGATTCCCTGCTTCATCCACCTCACGAGATCAGCAGCTGGAAGGGAACCCCCATTGCCATTTTCACCCGCGACAAGGTGGTTAACGAAATATTCTGTCCACCCGTTTCAGGGTTGACAAGCCGAGCCAAACCCCTCCTTCCAATTTCCTGCTGATGCCCAATTAGCGGCTGTCACCCTAAGCCCATTATCTTGTTTCATCCAGCGGATTGTGACAAGTGACAGCGATATGATAGACGTCAAGGATTTAATCAGCGCAGACGAAGGTGGAAGCGCATGAGATGTTCAAGAGGGAGTCATTGAAGCAGTTTTGGGTTTCCAACGAAGCCCCAACCCGCCTTTCAAACCACAGCAGCTAATTTTAACTGAGGCGGATGCTTTCATCAGACCACGAAACAGATTTACACATCAGTAATTACGAGGAAAACTGGGTTTTAGCAATGAGTGGCCCAACTACCGACCTTTGCTTTAAGAAGGTCTCCTGGGGAAGGGGTGTTTAAATATTTACCACCCCTTTCTTAATTGCACTTTCTGCAATCTGTGTAAATTCATTGCTAAGACAATTCATTCTCGCTCCCTCTTAATGGAGAAAGGCATTTCCTTAGCAAACATATCCCATGCTGTGGAGATATTTCTGTGAACGGTTTGTTGAAGGCAACATCTTTGTTGTTAGTTGCGAAGTCGTGTCCGACGCATCGCGATCCCAGGGACAACGTTCCTCCAGATCTTATTTTTTCACCCTGCCAACAAAAGTGCATCTAGTCAAGGCGATGGTTTTCCCAGTTGCAATGGGTGGCTGTGAAGGTTGGACCATAAGGAAGGCTGAGCGCCAAAGAATGGAGGCCTTTGAACTCTGGTGCTGGAGGAGAAGACTCCTGCATTGAGTCACTTGGACTGCAAGATGATCCAACTGGTCAGTCCTA